AGATACAACCTCAGATACTAGCTGGGTTTGCCTCAGTTTTCTCAAGTATAAAATGGGGATAATAATACCATCTATCTCCCAGGCTTGTTGTGAGCATCAAATGAGATAATTGTAATGAACTTAGCATAGTGCCTAGCACATAGTAAGTAATATATAAATGTTAGCTATTAGTAGATGCAAGAATAATAATAATAATAATAATCTCATTTGGAGTGTCACAACCCTAGGAGGTTGGCTGTAGTTTCATTTTATTCCCATTGTTCAGACTGGAAAATTGAGGCTCTGTGTAAGGGGCAGAATTCAAACTTAAGTCTTCATCATTTGAAGTTCAGTATTTTCCCTACTATGTTACACTGCTTTTATGATTCTAGAAATTGGGGATATTTCTCTTATTTCATCCTAAAATGGACTTTTTTCTTTTTTTTTTAGGACATGGCCAATGTAGAAATTTTATTTTTTTAATTTTTAATTTTATTCCTCATTATATATTCTTAATTACAATATTATTAATTTATTTTTTAAAAGTTTTCAACATTCACTTCCGCAAGATTTTTAGTTCCAAATTTTCTCCCCATCTCATTCCTCCCACCACCCCAAGATGGCATGCATTATGAATACCCCTACTCCTAATTTGCCCTCCCTTTTATCTCTCCCCCCTTCTTTTATCCCCTTCCCCTTCAATTTTCCTATAAGGCAGGATAGATTTCTATACCCCATTTCTTGTATATCTTATCTCTGTTTCATCTGATAACAATTTTTTTTAACTTTTTTTTTTAAAACTTTGGATTCAAAATGGACTTTTCTTGCCTCTTTTTTTTTTCCTCATTCTGGTCTGAAACAGTGATTGCAGTCCAGTATAGAGGTCTACAAACTTCTTTCCACTACAAACTAAGGCGCATCTGAAATGCACAATTCATCTTCAACTTAAAGTCTTTGACTCGGCTATGATTCTATGTACAATATATGTCATTAGCAAGAATTGCACCCAAGTCTTCTTGAAAGTAAAGTGGCCTTCTGCCTGTATTCCATGCTGCCTTTCATTTTATACTTCCTTGAAAGTAATCTCTTTTCTTTTCTTTATATTAGATCTTTGGATCATAGATCTAGAAATAGAAGGGACTTTAAAGGTCATCTGATCCAAGTTCCTTATTTTATAGATGGGGCAACTGAGGCCAAGAATTAATGAGGAAGAAAAAAAAAAGAATTTATTTCCCGGAGGCCTGGGAAGTTTTCCTGTTAATCTGAAAAACTCTAAAAAGTGATGGAATATGAATGGAGGGCAGTTCAGACCCAGACAGAAATAAAGTAAATTAGCTGAGGGATAATTATAGCAGTGGGAAGGATGGCTAGAATTATTTGGATAAAAGAATAGGGAGTAAGGTAACTTCAAATGAAGTATTTAAAGAGTACTTATTGTGTGCATAGCACTCTAGAGAATACTATTTATAAAACTGAGTTAGCTTCTTGTCAAAAGGAGCTTACAATGTAATTGAAGGAACAAAACACTACTCTCTAGAGGCAGCTATTCCCAGATATTTAGAAAAGAAATTTTTATTATTGTTCATTCATTTTGTGTCTGATTCTTCATGACCCTATTTGGGGTTTTCTTGGCAAAGATACTGGAGTGGTTTTCCATTTCCTTCTCCAGCTCATTTTACAGATGAGGAAAGTGAGGCAAATAAGGTTAAGCACAGAGTCACACAGCTGCTAAGTATCTGAGGCCAAATTTGAATCCAGGAAAATGAGTCTTCCTGAGTACAGGCCTGGTACTCTCTCTATTGTACCACTTAGCTGCTCCAGAAAAGAAATGAAAATCATCAATAAAACTTTTTTCAGAGGTACAGAAAAAAAGACAGAGACAGAGAGTCAGAGACAAGATAGGAAGAAAAGGAAAGGAAGAACGAGAAGAAGGAGGGAGGGAGGGAGAAGGAAAGAAGGAAGGAAAGGTTTGAAAGGGTAGGCAACATGACTTTTTATTATGCCATGAAGAACTGGCTGCAAAGATATTGGAAAGAAACAAACAACAACAACAAATCAAGGGATTAGAGACAACAATGCGAGTGGAAAATGGCCAAGAGGAAGGTGTAGTTATGGATTGAAAAAAGCATTTATCAGTGCACTAAATAGAAACATTTGGAGGAATGTACAAATCTTCCCATGATACAATAGTCTGTCAATAATGATTTTAATCTTTGTAGTCTATAAAGACTATGAAGATTTATGAATTTCCATAAGGATGGTAGAAAGATTGAGTCTTAAATCTGACATCAGAAGAACTTGTGGAGCAGAAAATTCTATGAGTAGTAATTTTGTAAGGTAGGAAACAAAAATAATGATTTCCATTTGATTTAATATCCCTGAAGGGATTATTTTTTTAATGGAACATACACAAAACAGAGGAACACCTTATCGATCTTAGAATCATGAACATCATGTTATATGGAGTATGTAAAATATTGCAAGGAGAGCATCAGTTAATTAAAATACAAACATATATACATTATACCTATATACATGTACACACATGTTATTTTTATGCATGTGTGTATGTGTATGAATATCTTATATATGCATATATATGATAAAGTTAATTACATATCCAGTGCAATCTCTAAGAGTTATTTCCAGTCTTTAATAATTAAAATATTCCTTGTGGAGAAAACTTTAGATATGTTCCCTCCATTTAAAATGTGTGAGTGGAAGAGTATCATATGTGCTAGTATATTGGTCTCTTAGTTATGAGAAACTTAACCAAGATATTTACAAATGCCAACTGTATACTCTTAAAATCAGTCCACAGGTTGCAATCAGTATCACACAGACAGTGCCCTCTTAGAGAAAACTTCTTTCTGCTTATCTTCAGCTGTATAGACATATTTTAAAAACCCTTACAATGTACTTTAGTATGATGGGCCATGTCACAGCATAAGCTGTTCAAGTTAGCCTTTAATCCTCCAATTACTGAACAATTCCACTTCATATCTGTCATACAGGGGTCGCATAGTAATGAGCATAGAAGTTTCCCATCTGTGGGGTGATATGTGCCTAAAACCATTTGCCTTTTATGAGATACACTCCAATTTGGATTTTGCCACATATAATGAAATCTTTACAGAACTAATTTGAAATAGACAAATAATGCAAGATACATCAGAAAGTCAAGTGAAAAATGAGAGAGGGAGAGAGGAAATGAAAGGGAGAGAAAGACAGATTCCCTAAATGTTTCAATACAAAGGTATATTTTCCTACATTCAGGATAATAGCCTCAACTTTCTGGTATTATTTGTCTATAGCCTTTGTCTATATAAGCAATCAGAAGTGGAGAACTGAAGAAATTTCCCCATATCATTTAGTTTTAGAACACACTATTGAGGGAATTATAGATTTTACCTTTTTTTTTTTTTTACATTCCTATGAGGTTATTTTAATCAAAGGCTCTGAAATCTACCGATTTCACCATGGCACTTTGTGAATATAGACAGCTATAGACAACTGGCTTTACTACGTGTTCTTTTTTTTTCCTTAAACTGAATTATCTATAGTATATTGAAGGAATTTTGCTATGTGGGAATTCCATATAAGATGGGGGCAAGGGGCAGGTTGACATAAGGAATGGGATAATGCATGAATTTTTGTTTGAACTCCTGCTATGAATAATAATATTAATTTCCATTTAAATCATACTCCATACTCATAGTTTTATAGTTATCATTATTAATAAAATAACCCTATTTTTAAATCAACCCTATTATTGTCAGCTATGTTGAAATGGTTTTACTTGTGAAAAATTAATCTTTTTTCTTTAATTTGTCACTATCAGTTATTTTATAAAATATGCCCACATTTTGGGGAAAATTATACCAGTGTAAACTCTCACTGTTGTGTAAATTGCACATGATTTATATTCACTCTGTGTACATATGGAATGGTGGAAAGACGGATTAAAAAAGAGTTACAACTAACTTTTGACTGACCCAGTCACCACAGTTCACTCATACTAGGACGAATAGGCAGAGAACTGAAGTGTAATTAGTCTGATTGACCTTGAATGTGATAGTTGGAATGGTTCTTAGAACTGTGCTTTCATTTTCAAAACTATGAGCATAGAGCCAGATCTTGATATGGAGACAGTTTGATGGTACCCTTGGTGAGAGATGAAGCCAATTGAATTGGATCTCTGGTAAAGACAGTAGTTTCCCTCTGACATATACCCACATGAATCTTGTATTCATCAATAGGCATTATTCATAATGAGAAAGATCCTATTCCAACACTCCTTTTGATTTCAATGCTGACAGTGAATTCTTCAGTTGCTATGTTTTTTTTAAAAATCACTTTTGATCTGTTATCACTGCGAATTTCATTCATTTCTAGAACTATTGCTAAGATTCACAAGTAGAATGCCCAAAATTATACCAAATTAGCTACACACATTTTCCTGATGCTGAATCAGTACCAGAGATTTTAGTGATAGGGGAGCACCATGACCTCCTTCCCCTGTCTGAAAGTCTGCAAAAAGCACAAAGTTGCAATTTGCTAAGTATGTGGTAGTCTTTATAAGGCATTATTGCCCTCCTCCCTGGTGGGGAAAAAGTCATGGAGTCATATTAGGAGTTATAACTCATAAAGTGAAATGTTAAATTTTACCATATCAAGTGTACCCGTAATACTGAAGTCAGTTTTACTTTATACATTTGTTTCTATTGCCAAATTTCAGCATTTGTACGTCTTGTTATAACTTGAAATCTTAAAACAATTTATAACAAAGTTATGATTATAAATCATGGTGTGTATGTGTGTATGTGTTTTTTAAGTGTTTAAACCAAAGCATTCAATTCAAGAAACTTCTCAGCATGCTGACAATATATAGGAAACTTCAGAGGATGTCTCCTTGTAAAAGCTTAGGACTAAGTTTGTCGGATGGTTGTCTTTTCATATGGGGCTTTGTGAGTTCGATGTCGGACTCCACTAATTTTACTTTCTTCATTGGATCCTTTCAGATGTTCTGCCAACTGGTCAGGCACCCAGTGTGAAAGGCCAGCTCCAAAGAGCAGCAAGTCTGATCACATCAGTACAAGTAAGTGTTTAAGATTAATGCCTTCGATGGCTTGTAAATCATACAAACCAGGGTTTTTTGATGCCTTTATTGAAGGAGATGAGATGGAAGAAGGAGTCATTTCTGGAGCATTAGAAGGGGCCTACTGCAGGCCAGGTGTTTTTGAAATGCAGCATACTTAGTCTCCCTCATGATTTGATTCATCACGAGAATGTCCCTTTAAGCAGTTATATTTCACTTTGAGCTATAGCAGGTGGCAAAGTGCTGACTTTTGCAAGCCCAGCATAAGCTTTTCTTGGGAAATGTATGTTAGGTTACAAATGCTGTGAATATCATGACATGATGTGAAAAGATCACTGGGGGAGGGAAGAAAGTCATATTTTATAATTAAAGCAAACTGTTTTGCCTCCTCCCCCATTTCAAACATATATCTTGAAGTATTGCAGAGAATGCCTTCTTTGATTAATCCCAAAGAGAAGAAAATTAACATCCATTTGCTCATAAAGCCCACAGTTGATTTGTAGTTTAATCATTTTTAAGGTGTCAATTTTGAAGAGCAATTAAAATATGTTCAAACTTCTAAGAGCTTTTTTGTGACACTTTAGTCCTAGGACAAGCTTTATTGTCTCTCAGACACCACCTAAAACTGAAATTTAACTATGTAGTCGTTTTTTCTCTTTGTCAACTTAAAATGTTTCATAGAAGTTTTCAAAATAAAGTATCCTGAAATAAAGTTTTCCAAGCCACGCATCTTGTCAGCAATTTGGAATATGAAATGAAAGCCTGGGAAAGTCTGTAAGGTCAGTTAAGTAAGCAAACATTAATAAATTCTCATTAAAATATTCAGAAGTGACAGATTTCTACATATGTATGTATATATAAACATATTTCATGCTAGTAATACCTTTAAGCTATTAAAGCTATGTATAATATAATATAGAGGGAAATGCAAACCACTCCAGTATCTCTGCCAAGAAAACCCCAAATGGGGTCACAAAAAATTGGACATGACTGAAAACAATTGAACACCACACATATATGTGTGTACACACATATATGTATATACATATTTATACATGTAAACACACATATATTTATACACACATATACATATATACACTAATCGATTGATACTTATGGCCAATCACACCCTGCCCCAATCCCTAGGACGCCAGTTTTGATACCATGAGAATTACTGGCAAAAATGCTTGGTATTTGGAGAAAAAATCTTTTGAGTTCAGAACTGGAAAAAGGGAAGAATGTGAAAAATAGAAACAGCTTAGGAGGATGCTAATCCTGGTTAGAGAATCTGAGGTATGGTCAACTTGCCTATATGGTCTTATTACTTCCTCAAAATTCTTTTGTGATTTTCCCTCTCCTCTCCACTCCACATAATGTTCACAATTTTTCAATTTGCTACATTGCAGGAAGGGTTACCATTTAAAGAATTTGCAATGGGTTGGGGGTGGGGAGATAGTTAGCAAGCATCCTTTAAAAAAAAAAAAGATAAACCTGCCTCTGAAACTATTAAGGACCTATCATGCATTCACACTTAAGTACAAACAAGTGCCTAAAATTAATGTCCTACATGACTTATAAATTAGATTATTCTCCTAACATTTAGCTGAAATCATTTGCTCTAAGAAAATCAATTAGAAGTATCAGATAAGTAGTGGATTATTTAGGAGAGCATGATCTTAGAGGAGACTGGGGAACAGAGTGATAAGAAGGTAGGAAAGAATCCCAGAAAGGGAAATGAGAGAGTGGCAAACAGTCGAAGACTTTATTTTCTTAAAACTATTGAAGAAACACACTACAAAACCATATATGCGTAGTACATTATATAGAAAGGTATATGTATATGTGTCTATATGCATATGTTACCAGCTATATGTATAAATAAACATAAATATATTGGCAAATGTAAAATGAGGGGAGGGTGGCCTTAATGTCTGAGGTCCCTCTAGCTCTAATTACTGATGACTCCATTTAAGGGTAATTGGAAGCTAAGTGTTGCCCAGAAGAGGTACTACTCTGATAATAGTCAGAAATGACTTCCTATTAGCATGGCATAGTTCTGGCCCAAGTTATTTTCATTTCTGTTTTCCTTGAAGTTATGTTTTCATATAGATAGGGCTTCTAAAGTTCAATTCAATGAAATTTAACAAACACTTATTAATTGCCTATAATATGATCCTTGCTTTTAAGACGATTACATTCCAGGGAGAAGGGGAGGGGGTGAGCTGAGTACAAAAATCAAATAAATAAATAAATTCAAAATAAAAATGGATAGATAAAAGGGAGAGTAGTGAAACATTGTACATTGAGAAGACATATTCATTTGAGGAAATCCAAGGGAGGGGGAAGCATAGTGGATAGTTTGGGGGATGATGAACTGAGGGAAAAATATTGTGATGGGAAACTCTTACGGTGATTTTAAAAAAATCTTTTCAGTAACTAAAGTGAACTTCTCTTCCTGCCTTTCAATGCCTTCCATAGATGGACCACACCATCTCATTCTCTCCAGCCTAATTAATAAGATCACTGACCTACAGCTAGAAGTGACTTTAGAAGCCATTGCATCTAACCTCTACCCTTTACTTTAAATGTGAGGACACTGAGGTACAGAAAGAATGTGACATGCCAAGAGTCATGAAACTATTGGGTATCTGGTGTAGAATTTGCCCAGGGCCACAGGCTTCCAGGTCCAGTTCTGTATCCACTAAGCCACACTTCTTCTGATATTCACCTTCTAGTCAGGCCTATTATCTCCCTGTCAATCACACTTTGCTAATTCCGATTACACCATCTTGGCCTCTATTTTCTTCTTGCCTGAAGTTGTCTTCCACTCTTTTACCTTCTACTTGTTTAAATCTTAAATTCCCAGGCCTAGGCCTAGTCCTTCCACAAAGCCTTCCCTAGAAAACTCCAACTTTCACTAACATCCTACTATGAACAACTACAAAAAGAGTTGTATTATACGTTTAACACACAAAAAGAGACTGCCTAAATGTGTGGCTTGAAGGGAGGCAGGAATAGATACATCTTGAGCATCTCTTCCCCCTGCTCTTCTCCAAGGTCTCCAAGTCTCTCCAAAAACAGCTGGCCACTCTCAGGATGAAGGTATCCAGGTTAGATTTATTTCCATCTCCTCCCTTAAATATCATTAGTCTAAGGGATATCATTTTCAGTTTCAAGGTAAATTATTGATCAATATACATTAATAGGGAAAGGAGGACTCCCAGCTTTATATCCAAGGCTTAATTCCCTTCCCACCAAATAACAGTTCCATAAAGAACTCACATAGCAAATAGCAAAGAAACCCATTTATCCTAAACCATAGCAAAACAAAAGTCAGAGAAAGTATACATAAGAGAATATAGACCGGGCAATACAGAGTGAAGGAGCTCTCCCATTGTGAGTAAGGTATCTCAGCTCACTTAAAGAAAAAGCACCAAATCTCACCCAAGGGGAAAATTCCCCCAAATCTCTAGTGTAGCAAAGCAAAGATAGAGACATGAAAGAGACTGCCAGCTCCACTCATATGGGCTTTTTCTCAGAGTCTTTCTCGCTTCATGCCCCTGAAGAGAGGTTGGAATCCCACATCTTTACTCTCTTGATGCTGGAAAACAGAAGCCCCAAAGAGAGAACCTGAGGAAACTTAGAGACCTCTTCTCTTTTCCTCTCCCACACCTCCACTCCCATCCCTCATGCAGGTTCAAGACATTGATCTCTAATAAGGAAAAAGTCTCACATCAGTGGGCTTTGGGACTGGGGTTACAAACACATTCAACTATATGCACTAGGTAAAAAGAGATAGAGAATCACCATTTAAGTACTTCTGGCCATTCCACTTAATGAAGATATTCCCTGACATGAGGATGAGACAGGAAAGTTAAATCCACTATTTCCTCAATTCCTCAATTAGTTTGAGTATCTTGGAACTTTGAATAAGATTCCAGAATTTCACCTTCATCATACCTACAAGGAGACATTCTATTTATTCCGCTGAGACTTAATAAAATTCAGGAGAACAGCCTCGATTGCCCTTTCTAGGTATCCAGGTTAGCCAGAAAGGTGCCTGCTGTAAAGTCCTTTGGACTTTCTTGTATCCTATTTTGCTTTATAATAAAACTGGAAGAAGAAACAGTTTTGTGGTGTGATCACCTTCAGAATAGAATCACACGTGGGTGTGAATTCAAAAGTATTTCCCCCCAGTTATAAGCTTCCCTTCCACGTAGGTTTTTAGAGGTGTTTGTTTTAACTCTCCTACTCAATAGCTTAGCTGGGCATAGTGAAAAAATACAATTTCTATTCAATTGTTTCCATAACAACCATCTCTTATCCAGCTGTTTTCTGATATATACTGCCTTCTTTTAATGAAACGCTAGCCCCTTTCCAGCTTCAACTGTTACTGCTACACTATGCTTTATGAGGAATTTAATGAATTTTCAAGTGATTTTTGACTATATGAAATTTTCAACCTATGTTCTGACTTTAAAACCTAACCCTACATAAAATGTGACTCAATGTACTGTGTATCACAGTATGTATTGCAAGCTATTTGGGGACAACTGTAGTGTAGTAACAAAAGAATTTGGATTTTTCAGAGGTCCTAAATTCAAGTCCTGCTTTTCCTATTTACTACCCATGTATTTCTGAGCAGTTGCTTCTAATCCTTGGTTATTTATCTGTAAACCAAGGAATTGGATTTATGCGCTTTCTAAGATATTTTCCAGCCTTAAATTCTATATTCATTTGCATTAATAATAATACTTTATTAAGTTTCAGCTGCAACGAGGCTACTTTTATGATCATTTGCATACTCTATTTTGAAGAAAGATGCAGATTCAATTTGGTTCAACAAACACTTATTAAGTACTTTTTTATGTATGTCATTGTGTGAGGTGCTACAGATACAAAAACAAAAATGAAAGTCAGTCTGATTTCCGGGAGCTTACCTTGTACTGTTAGTCAACCTAGTTCTCTGCTTTCAGTGCCATGGGTTGTACCGAACACACCTGTGTACCTTCAAAAAAGAAAAGATCTTTTTCCTCCTCTATTGAGGAAGGATATTGCCCCCAAACTGACAGAGTTATTTGACCCTGTGAGTTTATGACTGTCTAGCCTATGATGGGCAGGTAAGAAAAACAGGTTGACTATTAAAAATCTTTTACTGTCACTGTAACATTTATAATTTGAAACAGTTTCATTTCTGTTCCAGTAAATACCTGCCCTTTGATTTCTACAATATTTATAGATGCTTCTGTTTCTTTTCCTCTTGCAAATGATCATAGAAAAAGACTATATAAAAGACATTGTTTTTCTCTACTACACTAAACAACATTGAAGTTACCTTGACTAGTTAGGTTGCCATTGGACATTCTTGATTCTTAAACATTGTGTTTTAAAATATGGGATTAAACCTGACGGGGGTTGGGGAGCCTTTTGTTTTCTAGCATAAATAATTAACAGCTTCTCAGCAAATAAGAATGACAGATACTACACAATGCAGCTGAATCCTAAGCAGTTTCCTCAATACTTTATATTAGTGTCTAAAGGAAAAAATAGATATTATTCATAACTGGTATTGTTAGACATTCCTCAAATCACATTTTTAGTGGAAAAAGTAATAAAGTAAGGATATTTGTAAGTTTCACAATCAATCAACTGAAGTCATGGTTTATGAAGTAACCAAGCTGTTCATTGGTATTTAAAATCTGTGAACAAATGTCAATTACTATGCTACCTGCCAAATTCTGTCCCATCATTAATTACTAATACATTGCAGTTTTCTAAAAATTTAACTTTCTCAAAAACAAGCCATTAGCATATTTTACAACTTAGCAACTTCTTTTCTTTTCTGTAATATGATTAAAATCAGATATGTAAGTTTTATCATTTAAAGAATTGGGCAAAGAAAACATGATATTTCTTGTAATACAAAGGATTATTTTGAGGGAAAATTAAATTAGAATGATATTGTGTTATTGTTTTTGCTGCTGCTACTTTTTTTGGGGAGAGAGGTCATAGAATATTATTCCCTTGTATACAGACTACCTTATAACTAAGGGGGTCACTGAACAGCCCTAGAAAAGTTCTCAAAAGCAATGGATACAAATCCCATCTTCTTCATTTATGACTCCAATTCTTCTTCCATCTTTAACTCTTGTTCAAGATGCACATATTAGTCTCATTGCAGAATAGAGCTGAAGAGATTGCAAAGATTATCTAGTTCCACTTTCCTCATTTTACAATTAAGGAAACTAAATCTCATAGAGATTAAGTGACTGACTTAGACAGTAATGAATAGCAAAGCTAGAATCCATACTCAAGTCTTCTGACTGCAAGTCTATCCAGACCACCTATTCAACACACTACCCATTTAGCTGCATGTCATATATTTAGACATTTACTATTTTCCAGTGTAGATGGTTAGAATAATATATTTAGATTTCCTATGGATTATACTGAGGAGGCTCTGTAGTATCCTAGATTCAATACAACTGTTAAAATGTCAGTTGTGGTAGCCACCTTAGATAGAAGAGAAAGAGAGAGAGAAAGAGAGAGAAAGAGAGAGAAAGAGAGAGAGATGATAGATAGATAGATAGATAGATAGATAGATACAAAGATAGATACATAGATATATAGATACATAGATATATAGATACATAGATAGAGGGAGGAAGGAAGGTAGAGAGACAAAGAGAGAGAGAGAGATCTTCCTATTTAATACCTTAGTTGATATCAATAATCAATGTCTTAGTGAAAAAAGGATAATCTCTGCAGTTAGTCTTGGAGTCTTTTGTAATTTTATAATTTTTGTAATGTTGACATTTACATAAATCCTTATCTGAGAAGCTGCTTCAGTGGTACATTTTGTTCTAATGAGTTAAATACAATTTGAAAATCAACAAACAGTAGGATCTTATGTTCTTTAAAACTTTTTATGCTATCACTAGAAAGACCCCTTGAAGTTTGCACACAATACTTTCATGAAGATTTTACGAAGATAATACTGTAGGAAGATGGGCTTGTAATTGTTGGTTTATCATAGTGATCATAGATCTAGAGACAGAAGGTATTTCACCATCTAATAGCCCAACTGTTTCATTTTTATAAAAGAGGAAGCTGAGGCCCAGAAGTATTAAACCCAAGGTCACACAGTAAGTGTCATGAAAGGGAATTGAAGCCAGGGCCTGTGACCCCAGAATTAGGATTCTTGTACTCAAGAGGCAGTGTTCTTTGCCTGCCTTCTTTCTTTCCTTCCTTCCTTCCTTCCTTCCTTTCTTTCTTTTTTCCTGGGGAGAAAGGGGTGATGGTGGCAAAAGAACCATTCATGATCTTTTCCATTCTTTTGAATTCTTTACTTCTGTATGATATTTTGAGAATCAGTCCCTGAATACTTTTGAAAATGTAACCTTCAGCATTGCTTTCTTCAGTATGCACTTGGTTAATGAATTGAAACTCCACAAGTATCACAAGAGCTGAGGGAAAAGACTCAGGAAAACTATAAATAGGGAAAATCATTAGCTCTGACCCCCATTTGTTTAATACATTTAAAGCTTCCAGCCTTTTTTGTGATAGCAAGCATGAAATAATATGTATATTTGTAGCAATATGCAGAGGCAGAGACATTCAACAGCTTTTGTTGAAGGAACAATGTGTCATACTAGGCACTAGTGTGAGGAAATAAATTGGAGTGTTGGCTGAGTAAAGATGGAAGGAATTATTCAGGTGGAAGTAGTTTCTAAGGGGCATTATTTCTAACCTTCAGAAGTCTGCTACATACCTTCAGAATTCCAGCATGTGAAACAAAGAACAGTTTAAAAACTGTTCAAGAAAAGAAGGGGTTTGATTTATCTCACAGTAACATAGATGTGTCCTGGACATCTCGGGGGACTCTTTGTGGTTTTCCCTTCATGCAGCAGTGAAATCAGGGTCCTCGGTGTGTTTGTTTTTAAATTTTTTTCATTGCAATTTTGTTTGTATCAGCCTTAGATTATATTTTAGATCTCTCTCTAAAAAACCTTTGAACTTATTTTTACATAGATGTATGTTTTGTTTTTTAATCTTTTGCAGGAAGTATTGCAATCATTGTTCCTCTTGTGATCTTGGTGACACTAATTACTACTTTAGTAATTGGTTTAGTGCTTTGTAAGAGAAAAAGAAGGTAAGGTGTGTTGTTCTATGACTAAAAAATTAAAGGTGAATTGAAAACATGTATGAACATGTGCATGTGTGTGTATATTTACATACATATACAAAATAGGTCTGCTTTCTATTTTCCCTTAATAATCTGAATAAGGTGATTTAGTTCATATAAGCAAACTCTTTCCCTATTTTATGCATCCTTTGTCACACTGCAATATGCTTTTCATTCTTGGTTTTAGCACCAGCTCAGACTAACTGGAAATGACAATAATTATGCCTGTCCCTATTCTTTCCCCCCTTGCTCGAATGGAGATGGTCTGGCGAGATTAGCCAGATAAGTTGTTAATCAATGTGCTCTGTAGAATTTTCCTTTTGGTCCTTGATCACCAAAGGATGGCCCATGAGTGACCAACCCACAATCTTGCAGTATCAAGGACAGTATATTTTTCAATAGTGAACCACATAATCATAAGTGTTGATACTTGTGGGCTGCATTGATTAGTTTAAATAATTGATTGTAGTCAGGTTAATTTACAATTGAGTCATTGACTTAAAACTAATAACACGGAACCTGGCAGCAGTCAATTATATAAATTTAGTGGCCCTCAGATGATTAGGCTACACTGGCCACTAGTTCATGTGTAGTAGAAAACTGGGTAGTTGTCTAAGTGTATTTTGCTAAGAATCTCACATAGGCTTTACCTCAGGGTAAGTTCAGTTGTATTTGACTTTCTAGTCAGAGGTTGAGTGCCCAGGCATTACACAGAATGTCCCAAAAGTCTTACTGGAGTTTTAAGCTTAAATAGCTTACAGCTTTTAAGATATTACATATACATGTTACATATACATGCATATATGCAGGGATATATACATAGAAATATGTGCATGCACTTATACATGTACAGAATATATGAGCAAAGAACTATAAAAAACCAAAAAAATTTTGAGAATAACTAATTTAGAGTTGTAATGGCTTACTACAACAAAGGTGGCCTGAAGCAAGGAGAAATCTTAGTCACAATAGTGCCTGTAGGGCTGTTATAGAAAAAAAAAAAGGGAATTTGTCCATGTGATTTGGAGAATAATATCATTCTTTTTTTTTAAATTTCCCTTCACTACTGTTTGGTAGCAATAATGAAGAAGATAGTCTATTTCTGTAGCCCTCTTGAAGAAAGATAATTCTAAATATGGATGTCTTTTCAGCAACTAACTTAAAAAATAAGAATATCCTTACCATTTTATTGAAATTTTAATATTCTTTTTTCTTATATAACCAATAATTCATCATTTACTAGATGCATTTCTATGTTGTTTCAAAAAAATTTAAGACTAGATTAAATTAGATGTAAAAATGAACTCATTAAATGCTTATAATGTGTCTGTTTATCCTGCTTGTAATTCAAAGTATGCCCACATTTGTTGTTCCTGTTATTATAGGACAAAAACAATTAGAAGACAGCCTATTATCAATGGAGGAATTAATGTGGAGATTGGCAATCCATCATATAATATGTATGAGGTGGACCATGATCATAATGATGGAAGTCTTTTAGATCCAGATTTCATAGTAGATCCAGCAAAGGTAATATTTTCTTTAGGGGATTAAAAAAAAGAAAAAAACGGCTCATATTCTTAGGGCCATAACTCTTTCTGCATTTCTGAAATTAAACACACTTTTCAATTCAAGATATTAAATATTGTTAAGAATTCTTGAGTGTTATATTTTCTTCCAAAGAAAAATTTGTAGGAATTCATTAACTAAAATTATAAATTACTTTGAAAAGAATAAACATTTGGGAGAAATATATATGCTACAAATTCACTCAATTTTTAAGTATACAAAGTTTTCATGTAAAACAATACCCATTTTCTAAGTATAGTATACTTAGAAACAAAAACACATTGTATAGATTCCAACAAGTCAAACCTCATTCTATTGGTATAAATATCATGGATAAAGTTAAATGCGGACAGCAAAATAATCTATAAAAAGTGCTTCTCTGGCAAAAAAAACCCAAAACATTTTTTTCTTTTTCCTTAAGGTATTTGGAATTAAAGTGCTAATGATTATGTGTTCTCTGTTATCTATAGGGGATAGAGACTGGAACTGTGATTTCACTAATAGAGGAAACTCCCTGGTAGAAAATGCTTACCTTTTCTGTAACTTAGAGTCTTAGAGACCACTGAGAGGTTATGTGACTTGTCCAGGATCATATGGTCACTATGTCAGACGTGCCTCTTGAATCTAGTTCTTTGCTCTAAAGCAATTTGCCTATTCATAATGCCACATTGCCTCTATGATAATAATGCTAATTAGCAGATCACTTTCTTTATTAAACATCCTTTCCTTATTATGCTTTGAGAAATATCCGTAACTTACAGACCAATAAATTCTATATTTTATTTTCTGAAATTCATTAGATCCATTCATTAGATCACTGCTGGTTTACCTTGCTTTATGGTCACTTCTACATTAGGAAAGGGAAGTAGACAAGTCAAGTGGTTAACCAGAAAACCAAGGCAAAAAAATCCATCTGAATTCTCTTAATATTTTAAGTAAAGGTGTTCAATTTTTACTCTTTTAATTGCCATGAACTGATTTCATTTTTTCCCATAGGTAATAAAAATAATAAAAACTTGGTTTTGGGTCAAATATTCATTCAACAATTCTTATTTGAGCAAATACTATATTATAGGCACTGTTCTAAGCCAAAGAACCTTTATTTGTATGGTGTACTATTACAGGACACATTGCACTACCCTTCCATGCTGTGATCCTCAGATGCCATATGGCCAGTCTTCCTATATCCAGGTGAAAAAATTAACATTCCTAATTAAATGAATCCACCAAGTGGCAACTGGTTCTGTGTCCACAAATTGAATTGAACTTGCCTTGGAATGGGGGCATTTGTATATCTCTAAGACATTATCTTTGTGTAGAATGCCTTATTATTGGAAGGAACAACATCCAATTGAAAATCAGCATCAGTAATTATTAATTCAGTAACTAATGCCTACATGCTAAATATGTTCATGGTACAAACATGAGCAACCTTAATATTCTTGACACTTAGAATTGGCAGAATAGAGGTAATCTGAATGTTTCCATTAGATAGTTTATCTGAGAAGTGGAGAGACATCTGAGATACCATACTTTCTGAACTCTTTCTAGTATACTTGGGGATTAAAATAATATAGTACTTACAATCATAATATATTACTGTTTGAAGAATCTAAGACTATTTCAGTGAGAGAAAATGTTTTAATTTTCCCTGTAATTTTAGTCCTTACTTGATTAAACTGAGCCAATTATTAGGCATTTCAATAAAAATAGCTCTATAGGACTGAAATCTCAAAATTTGTGGGAATTCTATATAGAAATATCTCTTCTGTCAACTTCTCATTTATTTTAGTAACACAAAGCTGCCCTTGATTGCCCTTTAGATGTATTCATAATTGCGATTCATAAAATGAGATTGGAGCTCCCCAAGTTATCAGGTTATGACTTGGAAAGTAATGATTTGAACCCTGGATTGTTACCCAGACTACAATTCACAGAAACAAGAGAAGGGTTTGTACTAATCACACAGTCCAGACCTCTTGAGATAACTGAAGACCAGAGAGACAATGACCTTAAGCCCAAGGCTATGGCAAGCCAGGTCTCCTCTCTTCCAGGCTAATGATCTTCCTTACAATTCTTTTATATGTTTTCTGTGCAAAGAAGGAGGTTGAACCCTGAAGAAACTTCATTTCCCTGTGTATTTCTAGCCCAGTCAATGAAATGGACAATATAGCTTATCAGGTGCATGTCTTTTATTAAACATAATTAAAGTGATTATTATGGTCAATAAAATAAACTCAATTTTGAGTTCATAGAACATTTTAGATATAAAAAGGGAGAATTTAGTTTCTTCCAACTTCTCTCTTACACAGACACACACACACACACACACAACACACACACACACACACACATTTTGACACAGAGCTGCTTTTCTCTGTCTACATACCTAGTGCATGTTCCCATTTTTTTTCTTTCATGTCACAAATAAAATGTGGGGTATGGGTGTCAAGCTGGACTAACCAAACCTTTGAGCTTGGTTTATTTTAACCTACAGTATCATGTTCAAGGGCTATTCTCGCTCTTTGGACTAGTTCTAATTAATCTGTTCTATCACTTCTTTTTCTTGAAAAATAAGATGAGTGCTCCTCACAGAGGTGATGATCAGTTCTGGTCTGAGTAGAAGCAGTCAGGGTTAATAAAATGGCTGATTATCCAGAATGGTTCTACTAGCAGGACTTCCCAAAGTGAAGAGGTTTTAATTGGGAGATGCAAGCTATTCACTGATCTGTAAGTTGGGACATTATTTCCTGCGGGGATAAAATGAAATGGAAAGGATATCTCTTGGAGCTCAGAATCTCCAAAGGTAGGTTGGAGAAAGTAGGCATGTCTACATCTGAAGCAGCAGTTGAATATTAAAATTTGAATGATAGTAAGAGTTTCCCTTGATAAAGGCAACATGTGCAGTATTCCCTGTTAAATAATGGTCTAAGGACAAAAATGTTATTCTTGTGACTGAAAAAATGAGTTTATGAATGTGATGGGAGGGGAGATGTAATCTTTTATAGACCAGAAACTAAAATTCTTTATTTATATACAGGCCAGATATATAGGGGGAGGACCCAGTGCTTTCAAGCTTCCCCACACAGCGCCACCCATCTACCTAAACTCTGATTTGAAAGGACCACTAACAGCAGGGGTGAGAGAAGAAAATTCATCTTTCCATGTCCATTCCATCACAGGGCTCCTCATAAGCCAAGGCTGGGAATTTGACTTTGTAGAGGCATAGCTCTTTGTTGAGCTTTTAATTGAAAAGTTATTCCAAAATATAGAGATTTTAATTGCTTAAGACTAGTTGTTTTTCATGTTACCTGACATCTGAAGATTTTCCACAGCTCATTAAAGAAAAATGAGACTTCTGCAGCAATAAGAAAATGCTATAACGGGCATTTACATCTATATCACATTAAAGCAAAATGATATTTCATTTCTTAGAAATTTAGAATTTCTGGGCAGAAATTTAAGATGAAAAAATTAAAGTGTTTAATCTTCAGTAGTCATTTATATATTATTAAGATAGATTAAGTTCAAGTAACCAAACTCCACAGAAGCATGCTGCGTGCTTTAGAAGAAAATAATCTATTGTTCATTTCCATATTTTGTGATGTCACTATTTATTTCTTGCCTCATTTGCATCGAGTGGATGCAGTGGCCTTATTGTAACTGAGATTGCATGGTCTAAGCCTGATTATGAAGTATAAAGCATTGTTATTATTGCTTCTTTTTCTTAAGTAAAATAATTATATATATATATATATATATATACTACCAAAATGTATTACTTCAGTATGAAAGATTAATGTATCTATATTCATTCTGAAGTTTCTATTTCCGTAACCTAGCAAAGTATCTGATATCTAGCAAGTACTTAATAAATGACTGTTGAAAATGATAACAATAAAAGTTAACATTTAAAAAGCACTTACTATGTACTCGGCACTGTGCTAAGTGCTTCATAATTACTAAATCATTTGATCATCACAACCACCCTGGGAGGTAGGTCCTATTATTATCATCCTCATTTTACAGATGGGGAAAACAAGTCAAAAAGAAGTTGAGTGACTTGCCCAGAGTCCCAAAGCTATCAAGCATCTGAGGCTGGATTTGAACTCAGATCTTTCCAACTCCAGGTCAAGCACTCTATCCACTGTACCACCCTAAATGCTAAAACCCTAAATGCTGAAAAATTAATTCTATAAAGTAATTCTGTGTTAGTGAAATTATACTGTACCTATGACAATCTCAGAGCTGAAAATGTTCCTGTGATTCAGTCTGAATGAGTGCTTCATAATACTTTGAAAACAGCTCAGTAAATTATTTTTATAAATAAGAGTATGTAAGTAGAACAGTGAGTCTGCACAGAGCTACAACAGCTTTGGTGACAAAGCTATTCCTTTATAAATACAAATGTTTTGCTTTTTTTAACTTGATAAAAAAATGCAAAATAATAAGTAACTAAGTGATTTTTCTGTCTTCACAGTTGTTGACAGAATTTAATGACTGTAGGTATTGTAGCCAACCAGCCAATTCTTAGAGATTGGTTTAGTGCCTCTATCTGTATCAATTATGTAAGCTAGCATTTTAGTCCCCAAATTAGTCATCACGAGAACAAGAACACCAGAATGGAAAAGTATTCTTTCCCCTTAGCCTCATTTTCAGCAAGTAGCTTGTAAGGCTATATCTCTAAGATACAGTTTGGAGGAAAAGACCAAGATTCAAGACATCATTCTGGTGCTTCCAAATGACTGAGTGTTTTGGCATCATATTGACAAAATACTGAGATAACTGATTGAATTTTGAGCTCGAATAATGTCATTTAAAATGAATCAGGAAATCATAAAGATGTCATTGTAAAACCTCCAAGTATTGATACCATTTAGCAAGTTATTATTCTAGGACTTGAAAGATTCAATTTGTTTCCCTACTCTAAATCTAGCCTCCACAAAGATTTTACAGGAACTTTCAATAAAGTGTGCCCAATTTTACTAAATATATCGAACCTCAAACTTGTCAGTTCTCTGATGAAGAGAGAACATTTCAGTAATTTGCGATTTTGCCTAAATAAGCCTTATCACATTTAAATTATACTACATGTTATGTAATTGTCCCTCTTCACTTACCTTAAATATTATCTTTGTAAAGGATGAGCGAAAAACTTGTTCAATGAGATCAAAGTGGCCTACTAGCTGTTTAATCTCCCACTTCCATATCTTTGAAACAGGCTGTTTCCTGTTTCCCGAAGAATTCTTTTCTCAGCTATACCTCTCAGAAGTCCTAGATTCCTTGAAAACAGAATATAAACACCATCTTTGCTGATCTCTACCCCCTGCTAACCAGCACTTGAAATGATTGTGTATTTGCTTTATATTTACCTATGCTCATCTATTATATCATGAAATATAAACTCATTGAGGACAAGAACGATTCCATTTTTGTCTTTGTATGCTCAGCATGTGTTTTATACATATTGGTCACTTTTTGGTTGTTGTTGTTGAAATGAATTGGAGTTAATTTAACAATAATTTCTATCTTTCTCTCCCCTCAGCCAACGAATTACTCCAATCCAGTGTATGCGAAGTTATATATGGATGGGCAAAACTGTCGAAATTCCTTAGGAAGTGTTGATGAAAGAAAAGAACTTCTTCCAAAGAAAATAGAAATTGGGATAAGAGAGACAGTGGCATAATCTTCTGATACCTTTTATATTCTGTATAAATGTATAAAATATAAGGATTACTTTTGTATGTTCCAACAGTATTATAATTGTTTTGGCATCAGCATTACCTCTTTTGTTTCCCCCTTTTTGGGTTTAATTGTTTTATGAGTTTTTTGTTGTTGATTTGTTTTCTGCTGATGACTATTGATTGACCATTTGTATGGTATTTTTACAAAAAAAAAAAAAGAAACTGCACTACAGTACAATTTACAACAATGCTGCTGATATGACACACCTTTGAATTTGTTAAAATTAAAAACATATTCCTTTGTAGTGTGAATATGAGCAATCTATTTTGTACGAACTTTTTTGGTTCTACTTAGACAGCAAAGATGATATCTGCACTTTTCCATGATATAGTCTGAAAGCTGTAGTACGGTGCGTCATTTTTTCTGTTTAAAATGGTGAAAGAATGATTGAATGGTGTACTCTCTTCTTTGCGCCCATTAGGACTTTACTTCAGAGCCTGAATAAAAGTATATAATCTTAAAAATTCCAACATGGCCTGCTTTTGAAATCTGCCTTAGATCATGAAGAGATAAATGAGGCTTTAAAATGAAAAAAATAAAAGATAAATTCTAATGATCTGCATGAATATAAACAACTATGCTTTCTTAAATTATATGTGCTATCCTAAATACATATGCCATATAATCAACATTTATATTTAACCAATACTGTAGAACGTAGCAACACTATCTTAAAAGCTGAAAGACTTTACTTGCTATGGGACAAGAACTGATCTCCATTAGGCCTTTAGTAGAGTAGCCACTCTAGAGCACAAGAGGGCATTACCTATTCATGTATCATGGATGTGTTCACACAGCATTTTGTGGATAGTTAACCCCTTACCACACTGGAAACAACAAAAGAGAGAGATGACATGAGCACATAAATTGACAACAGAATTCCAATTTTATGAAAGCAAATGAATTGTTTTTGCCAGGCCATGCATACAAGACAAAGCAGCTTTTTTAGTAAGCAGTGTTGATTGGATATATTCAAGGTATGTTAGGACCAATTCATTATGTGCCCCATTAAAAATATTTATTGGTAAGGGATCTTAGCAGAATAGTTCTGGGATAATCATCAACAATCTATAATCAAAGGTGGAAAGTGTCAAAGTTGGACTAATTACTCTGGTATCCATTTCTTTTCCATTCTATAAAAGTATATAGAGCCCACTCACTTATTTTTCCCCAAAATTTCAGCTGAAAAATATGACTTATTTAAGTTACATATAAAAAAGATAGCATTTTTATACAAATATCTTTAAAGGCACAAAAGATTTATTCACATGGTATGGAGGGCTTTTTGTTCCTCTGATAGACATGACCGACTTTTAGCTGTCATAATGTATTAACATAACAGATGAAATATGTTTGTGGTTGCTCTTTATTCCCTTTGTACAAGCATTAAAAAAAACTGCTGTTTTATAAAGAGATTTTTTTGTTGTACTATGTGCATGCATACTACCTATTTCTAAACTTTGCCATATTGAGGCCTTTATAAACTATTGATTTATGTAATACTAGAGCAGTTTTGCTTGAATGATGTTATGCATATCATAAACTTTTTCAGGTTCTTGTTTAAGTACATTTTTTAAATTGAACAGTATTTTTCATTTTGGTTATAATAGTCATTTTGCCTATGTTTCTACAATGAAGTGTTCAATACTTTATAAAAAATTGTTGACTGACTTATTTAAATGAAATTCTACATATTTAAGTCCTTGTGTTGGGTAATTTTTAAGGTTAAGAAATTGGTTGCCTTATAGATAATTATAAAACTTCCTGGGAAGAAAAACCCTGGACATGAGGATAACATATATGTCATAGCTTTAAAGTACTTAGTGTAGCTTGGGGAGGTATTGCCTTCATTATACATGAGATTGTCATGATTCCCTCTGCCATGCTAGAGAAGGAATGTCCCCTGGCCTGGGAGGATAAAAAAGCAACTCTCTCTTTCTCCTTCCTACCTTTTTTCTTACTTTAAATGTTTTTTCTCACCTAAGCTATCTATATAGCAGCCAGAGATGAAAAAAAGAAAAAGTAAAACACATACAGGAAACTATGCAGTCTGTGTCCATATAAGCCCAAACTTTCCTCTCTTCTGCCTTTGTTGAAAGCATGTGTTGGAGATGGAGAAGATAAAGATTGTAAAGGTACCTTTAAATGCATCTCTAGGTGATGGTGTGAGAGAGAGATGGACAGAGACTGAGACAGAGAGAAAAGACAGATGAATAGAAAGATAGACGTATGTGCCGTAGAGAGTACAAGGCTAATCTTGGAGATGGGTAAAGTCCTGCTTTTGTTACATATTGTTTGTGTGACCTTGAAAAAGTCACTTAACCTCTCAGGCAACTCTATAAGCATATAACCAGATGAGATTGCCAACATGCAGAGATGGAGTTTCTACAAAATGAAATAAAATAATATGTTTGTACTGATGTAGAATACTCATAAATAAATTTAAAGGTAGGCTTTACTCATGGACTAACTCTTTTGAGATTTCTCCAATTTAAAATTGAGTTGTTTTCTCACAAAACTTCTGCATTTGTTGACATTTTGGGGGGAAATTGATGTTAGATCATCAAATTCAGAGCTCTTTCCTTTTTTTCTGTCAAGGTTTTGATTTTTGGGGGGTTTGGCTTAGTCTTCAAAAGTTTTGGTGTTGACAAAATTTGCAAATTACATACTACCACTGCACATATATTTCCCCAATTGAAATGTGTTCTATTTTCCAAAACCCTAAAAAAATATATATAATACTGACAAATGTCACTGTGGAGGTTAGAGTTCTTTTCTGGAAAAGTGGGAAAATTAGTTCTTCTCCAGCGTTGCCTGACTCCTCGATGGGTATTGAGTTAAAAGTATGTTCTTTTTATTTCATGCTCATCACTGTGTGCTCCCTGTCCCCCTACTCTGAAGGGTTAATCAGTCACATCCCATTACAACAATTAGCTCAGTTTTGGCCTAGGGGAAATATAATAGGCCTCAGGTGGTTCATTTCTCTGCTATTTTTATTGAGTCTGTAACAGACTAAAGTATTACTAATTTATTAACACCATCACAATAGCTCAGAGCCCCTAGGTAAAAAAAAAAAAGTCCCTGACATTCTGATACAAGCTTAGCTCTCTGTCCTAATTTAAATTTTGTGCACTGCCAGATAACATCTGGATTCTATGTTTTAGGAAAAATCAGACTACAGAAAATGTTCAGACAAAAGAATCAAGCAGAATATATCACAGAACCTGTTATTGGACAGACACGAGGAGGGGAAACTGAAACAAGAGTGGATTTCTTGGAACTTCTCAGTCATTAAAGAAGCAATTTCAACTAGCAGTTTTAGTACAAATTCTGTGTATCAAGATGGCAGCAGGCAGGGCTATATTGGTTTGTGTTTTAGTCACTAGCTCTCAAACAACAACAACAACTTCACAGGACACATTTTTAAGTTTATCTGCATTATTTACCGTTTTTCCCACCAATTTCTTAAGCCTAGACAAAATAGTAAAGCAAGTCCTAATTTGTAACATTTGCTGATTTCTAAGATGTAAATGTTCACCCCGAAAATTTGGCAATCACCTCTCATTAGCTGGTACAAGTTGATTTCAAAATACTTCTGGCTATAGGTGCCTACCAGCCCACTTTGATCTCTCCTTTCCCTGCTGCAGCTCGACTATCCCTTGTGTTTTTCCTTTTACCTGTTGCTTATGTGCAACTGGTTCTTTCCAGTTTGGCTTAGAATATCCTGCATAGGAATTTCCCCCAATGCCGTTGCTTCTCTACTGTTGTGCCTAAACCTCCTTCTCTGTCCACTCTCTCTAAAACTGTATGGGTTATATTTAAAGATTCCTGGGCATGATTTCAGTCTGCCTTTTGGCTCAGAGTTAACAACAGAGCAAATCACTCTCAGGGCTGAGAGGAAAAGCTTATCCCTCTGAACAACGAATTTCAGAAAGTCATTCAGTTCTCAAATCTGTGTGTGTGTGTGTGTGTGTGTGTGTGTGTGTGTGTGTGTGTGTGTGTGCGCGCACGTGTGCGTAATATATATGTATAAATATGTTTAAAATGTGTTATGTGATGCCAGAAACAAAAGAAAAATTACATGTGTCTCTTTCCTTCTTCATTTCATTCACTCAGTAATTTAAGTGAATTACATTGTTTTCATTATTTGATATTCACAAAACCAAAGAGTAGGGTTATGTATGTGCCCTTGTCATCACTTAGTCCAATTGAATAAAGCATAAATGCATGTTTCATATTGTAGATTCCCACAAAGATAACAGCTTTTGCAAAGAGTTCTTTGTCTTCTAGACTTCAGTTCATTTAAAGATCAGCTCAATTTTTTAAAACTTTGTGTGTATGTGTAGTGGGTTCTCATGAGTCCATCAGGATGGAAAACTCCATATACAAATATGTTCAACTCATATATAGTTTATATGCCTGGGATACTGAAAGATTAGGTTACTTGAACACAGTCATACAGGTAGAATGTATCAGAAACAGGACATGAACCCAGTACTTCCTGACTCTGACTGGCCCCTATCCACTAAACCACACTGCTTCTCCACCTTCTTAATACTGTACTGTTAGTGATGAATTATGCTATGTGTTCCTTACTGAAAGATGATCATTTGTCATTTAATGTGTTATGATGTGAAGAGGCTCAAGAATTCTCTAAAACCAACATGCTCAGTCCACCTCTTCTTCCTTTTCCCAATGGGTATGCCTTCATTTTATGCATTGATAGTAATAGGTTTGGAAGAATATTTTAAAGAAATATGCCATTTATACTTGGTACAGTTTGTTTCAGGGAAGTTACTCAAGTGTTGATATTATCTAAACATCTTAAGATGCATTCTTAACACCCAATCTACTTGTCAATCTCTTTGTATAGTTATATACACATCTATTTCAGAAGGCAAAGCATGAAGCTATGTTCTCTGGTTCAGTCACTCCTTTTTAATGGATATCGTTTCTTTAAAACTGTAATTCACTTTGAGAAATGGGCAGCTTCCATACAATCCTATTTTTTTGTACTGAGGGAGATCAAAAATCCCAAGAAAAATTGGTACTAAATAGTAAGATTACCCAGATGATAAATACTCTGCTAAAATTTTTGCCATTCCCTCTAATGGATGATCTGCTTCTTCAGAACATGTCTACCAGATATTTGTTAAGGTAAGTGATGCAGTGCTATTACTTTAGTCATTTGTTCACCACCACATAATTTTTCAGCTGCTGTTTCTTCTGCAGTTCTAATACATAAATTACAAGGCTTCTGATGCAACTTGATTTCCAGTTTATTTATGCACTGGTGGCTTGCAGACCTGGTAACTTAACTGTTCTAGCCATTTTAAATGTAATGTTGATAGTTATAAACCACACTTATTCATTCCAGTAATCTAAAAATTCATAAGTAAGGAAATAATTTTCTACAAGAATAACTTGTAAAATATAGTTGAGAATTATAGATAGGAGTTTGAAGTGAGGCAGTGAGTAGATGTGGTTTAAGAAAGCATGCTGAATGATATTTCTCATTAAATCATTTTTTTCATTGTCAATTTTTAATGATATCTTTTGTTTAGATACCACCTTCATTTTCCAATGCATTACTTATCCCCTCCCTTACCTGGTAAATTATCCCTTTTAACCAAGAATTAAAGAGGGAAAAAATCAGTTCAGCAAAATTATCCAACACATCCACTGTGACTGATCTGGGGTCACAAAGGTTGTGAATATCAGAAGTGAGATTTGAAGACCTGTCCTCTGACTCCTGAGTAAATACTCTTTCTCCTCTATCATGTAGTTCTGTCACTCACTACCCACTGTTCCATAATCATACCATCACATTATACACACAAACACACTAGGATAAAAGGAGTTAATATTAAGCTTTGCAAATTTTTTTTTTTGCCTTTTGGTGAGGTTAAGTGACTTGCCCAGAGTCACACAGCTAGCGAGTGTTATGTGTCTAAGGCTGTATTTGAACTCAGGTCCTCCTAACTCCAAAGCCAGAGCTTATCCACTGGGACACCTAGCTGCCCAAGCTTTACAAATTTTAAAGCACTATATAAATACTGGTTATTGAATTATCCTCACTCTTAGAGTTCTCTTGTGACAAAGTAAAACAGGTAAATACACACACACACACACACACATCTACAAAGAATATAGCTTTAGTTTTTACAAAATATTCCACATATGTGATCTCATCTGATCTGTTGTGCTAGTGACATAAGGGGACTTTTGTGACAAAATACTGACTGCTGAGAGAGCTGCATTTGTAGTGTTAGCATTTCAGCAGTTGAATGTCCCCTTTAATGCATTGTCCCTGTACTATTCCTATGCTGTCTTAAGGTGGCAAGAAAAACTTGTGTTCTCATGGTCCAATTTATGACTCAAGTGGCAGGCAATCCAAATATACCCACAATTTTAGTTCTATTTTAACATATTAAAATGAAGATCAATTAATCCTTATTTTAAAAGCTATGGCTTGAGTAGTTCTTATGTATCAGAATCTTAAATGTGATATATTTTATTTAGCCTTTGTACTTCCTTTTCCGTCTGGCCAATGTTACTTTTTAAAGCAGCTGTTGTTGTTTGTTTGTTTGTTTTCTCTGCCAAACTGTTGACTCTTTTTTCTTAAATCTATTATATCACTCTCATTTCTTTTCCCAATATTTCTTCTACCTCTATTATTTGATTTTTAAGCCACTTATT